AGAGACGGGCCGCACCTCACCGAGTCTCACGCCGAGATCCGAGACCACCCCCCTGGGCCTACACCACGCGTGAAACCACCCCTCCTACCCACTTAACTCAAAAATACCAAACAAAACAACTTCACCGGCCGCGAAGGTGGGCGGCCGCCTGCTAGCTTCCAGCTACTCCGGAGGCCTCGGACGGCAGGCAAGACACTGGCCGCTGAACCCCGGGAGGCCCGGGCTTGCCGTGAAGCTGCAGACTCCGCCACCCCCTGCACCTCCACGCCTGGCACAGAGCCAGATTTTTCCGACTCCGTCCTCAAAAAAAAAAAAAAAAAAAAACAAAAAAAACCAACTAATTTGTGAGGCTTGGGTGCATGGCTCATATCCTGTAATCCCCAGGACTTGGGAGCTGGGGCCAGGCAGATCAGAGTCCAGGTAGATTGAGACGTATCCCTGGCTACACACGGTGCAAACCTAGCCGTCTCTACACAAAAGTACAAAAATTAGCTGGGGCGTCGGTGGGTGGGCGCCCACTGTGGTCCCCAAAGTAGACTCAGGAGACTGGGCAGGAGCATGGCCATAACCAACCAGGAGCTCGTGGGAGCTTGCAGTGAGCTGAAGGGTCGCCACCACTGCACTCCCCAGCCTGGGCAACAGAGCAAGACTCCAGCTCAAAAAAAAATAACAAAAAAAATTTGTAAGAGGATGAGGTCTTAGCTCGTTGCCCAGAACCTGGTCTGAAAATTCAGGCCTCAAGTGATCCTTCTCTTGGCCTCCCAAAAAGCACTGAGATTACAAGCACAAGCCACCGTGCCCAGTCCCAGAAGGATCTAATATTCAAGTCTCACTGTGTCATTTCAGCCTGCAAAGTATTCTTGTAACCCATAGGCAGAGTAGACTGCTGCCTACTTTGCATAATCCACACTACAGAATTTACCACAATATATGCATATTATTGTCTGCTCTGACTAAAACTCTCCAGTGACATACTACATGTTCTATTAATTAAAAATTGTGAAATAACAGAATTACAGAAATTGAGAACAAATTAATGGCTGCCAGGGGTTAGGGATAGAGAGGTGGGAATGGGCATGGTTATGAAGAGGTAACATGAGAGTCTTGTGGAGATGGATAGTTGAGTGTCTTCACTGTGGTGGCAATTTTGAAAGTCTCCACGTGACAGCTTGCAAAGAACTTCATATATATACACACACAGGAGTTGCCTGTGTAGCTGGTGAAATCTGAATGAGGTCTATGGATTGTGCCAGTGTCACTTTCCTGGTTGACATTGTCCTGTGCTAGCATGGGATGCTGGCACTGTAGGAGAGGGTTGATGGAGGTGGTGGTGGGCGCCTATAGTCCCAGCTACTCAGGAGGCTGAGGCAGGAGAATCGCTTGAACCCAGGAGGTGGAGGTTGCAGTGAGCCAAGACCGCGCCACTGCACTCCAGCCTGGACAGCAGAACACGACTCCTACTCAAAAGAAAAAAAAAAAAAAAAAAAAAACTGCTATCATTCATAGTGTCTCCAAAGTGCTAGACCTGGCCAGGCATGATGGCTCACACCTGTAATCCCAGCACT